ATCTCTCCTCCCCTTAAACAAAAAAAAAATATGCAATATTTTTTTTTTTCCATAACCTATATAAATTTCCATATAAGAATATATTGCCTTTTTTTTACTAATATTTTTACTGTTGGCTGGAATTCTACCATCGGTTCTCTGACTTGTACCACATATGCAGCATCTCTTGTCACTCCCCTTGACAGTTCTTGGCAATATGCTAACAGAATCACCTCCCCAAAGCGTTCCTCAACAACGCGGATGACCTTATAGGCTCTGTGACGTACTTATCAAGTCCTGAAGTCAGTCTACCTAAAGAAGACTGAACAACACCCCAAAGCGTTCCTCAACAACGCGGAAGTCCAAAAATGGCTCCAAAACCAGACTTATAAATCACACAGTTCTGTATGTCCCCCATAGAACCAAGTTCCTGTTGACAGTTCATTCAAAGTGATTGCTTCTCCTTGTTGGTCTTCGTCATTCACCATGGTTTATACCAAAGCTTTGCCAGAATTTTCTCATTTTAGCATTGTGGCAATTTCATTTTCTGTTTGTACACTATATCATAGATATTTCCAAATTTCTATATCTGTAATTTACTGTTAATAAAATTTCTATTATAACCTAATGTGTCTGTTGTTTTATTATGAACTCATACACCATCCCTCAGTGTTATTTTGAATTCATACACCATTCCTCATTATCACTTTCACATCATAACTTTCATACCATCACATTATACAACATTTATTTTATTTGAATATTAATTGTTAGTAACAACACGTTTATTGAACATTTGTTAGTAATGTTAGACTGTTACTTATAATTATCTCCCTTTTCTATTTAACTCCCCTTGTGATTATTTCTGTTTACTTGTTACCTATAATTATCTCCCTTTTTTATTTAACTCCCTTTGTGACTATTTCTGCTTACTATCTTTATAACCTAGACATAATATCTGGAATATGGTTTTTAACACCTTTAACATGCCTAATATCAAATTTAAACTTTTGTATTATCAATGGCTAATGGTAAACTAGCGTTGTCATTAGCATTTATGTTCTGCAATTTTACCTGTAATGACTGTAAATTCTTTTCTAATTAGGAAATTCTATCTTTTTTTTTTTTTTTTTTTTAAACTGATCACAATATTTAATGCCTCTTGCTCGAAACTTATTTTTTATTATTTTTCCCTGATCACAGTTTAATTTTGTTGGCTTCCTGTTCAATTGCATTGTGAATAACTGATACTTTAATATTGCAACTTTCCTAACACATTTAACACAACAATTAACACTTGACATTAACACTGTCACAATTAATGTTACTAGCCACTGCATTATTAAATTTACTTGTTTTTTGTAGTTTGTTGATAGACTTGGACAAAATCTGTTTTTATCTTCTGTAATTACTGGTATTTGTTCTTTGTTCATGTTTACGGAGTGCTCTTGAGTTTGTTGATTTTTTGTTACACTCCTTTTGACTGCTGCTACATTTTCTATTTCCTGCAGATTTACACTGTCATTTTTCTCTTCCATGAACGCATTTGTCTCTTGTCTCTGCGTGGTTAGCATCACTTCTTCTGTCATATCAGGTATGTTTTCTTTCTCCCACTGTTTTATTTCATGATCTGTCATCTCTTTCAGCCCTGGTTGGTTACCAATGATAAGTTCTGCACACGGTGAACTTAATACAGCCATGTCCATCTTCTTAGTGGTATAAGGCGTTTTAACCCATACTGATGCTATTCTAAATTTTTCTATCCTACCTCCGAATGTTCTACATCTAACCACTTTATCAGTCATATCCTCTGGTTTCACTAATGACTTATGTATACCTGAGATAGTCGATCCTGTGTCCCTCAAAATTGATAGGATTCGATTACCAACAATTCCTTTGTGTAGATTTAATTTTCCACAATCCTTTATAGAATTTGCATTGTGCGCTGGTATCTTATGCCTACATTTCAATTCTCCATATTCTTGAAACTTCTCACACATTGTGCATTTATCTTCTTCTAGTATCACTGCTGCATTTGTTTCTGATATATCACTTCCTGACTCGGAGTCTGATGTTTCACAAACTGCTGCTGCTTTAAATTCTTTCTTATATTTACAAAATTGACGCGTGTGCCCGTAGAATCCACAAGCCCAGCATTTACTTGTACTATCATATCTCTTTACCTTTTTCCTCCTGTTTTCAATTTTCTTTCTGACTTCTTGTTCATACAATTGATTGGCGTCGCATATGGTTTCATTACCGTGCCTTTTTTTGCATATGTCACAATCTATTATTGTTATTTTCCTTCCTCCATTAAATTTTTTTCTGGACGGATATGCTGATCTATTATATCCTGTTTCATATGACTTTTGTCCTTCGGCACTGGCTCCTGAGTATATATCAGTGTTTTGTGGTATGAGAAAAATATCACGATGTGCTGCATAATAATTTTCTCCTAGTTGTTCAAGATGTTTTAACGAAGTAGGTTTGTGTTCCTTCAGAAATGTGGTCTAGGGGTATGATTCTCGCTTGGGGTGCGAGAGGTCCCGGGTTCAAATCCCGGACGAGCCCCCAATGTAATGACTGCCCTTTTGTGTCTCCTCCACACTGGCTATCTATGGTGCAGAGTTAACACTGGCTCTAGTGTCTAGAGGTTCACAACTCAATCAAAGCAGACATGATCCTCTTCACGGTCACACAACGTCTAACAACGGTTAACACCAGCGGCACATTTCACGAGTTTATTTACACGTTAGCTCAATACACAAATCACAGGTGAATCCACTTACAGCACTCGGACAATAGACGTTGACATATTCACAGCTGGCTTTGACAATCAAACAGGGTACCATCACAGCTGGCCTTCTCGATCATTCATTCCTCGCCGATTCAAATCCACATGCTCTAGTCATTCTCCATTCATCTTCACAGCTTCATTTTCCATCCTTTCTCTCTGGGGCCCAGTCACCGAATGCCCGCCTGATTCTCAATCCCCCAGATCTCCTCATTCACACGTGACACACTCTTTCCTGTCGTTTCACCATATCTCCGTGAAACACATGCTCTCAGGGACTTCCCCAGTTATGCCAATCATCCCCTGACATTATCCCTATTTATAACATCATTACATTGGGGACCCGTCCTAAGTGCGAATACATTGTAAGTTATAAATATGAGTTACAGTGCAGGCATGTTATAACTATGCCAGTACATTAGACGTAGTGTTTTTGTGGACAGAAGTAAAATTTAGGCAAATACCGGCAGCCGTAAGTTTTGAGTGACTATGTGTGTTGGAAGATGGAGTTTAAAGAAATGTCGGGGTATTATGTAAGACCAGGACATGCTGTCAAGGGCATTAAGTAAAACCGGGACAACTGAATTCCAGACTCTAGTCATTCTGAAACAAACAAGCTAGCCTGAGAAAAATGGGCAGAAACACGGCGAAGCAATACTGGGTAATGTATTCACTTCACGTGTGAAAAAATTGTACACGTTTCATCCCGCGGGAACGCTTGTTCGTCGCTGGAAGAGACTGTAAGCTGAACTTTTGACCCTTGTGGTGGGTAATCCACGACGGAAAATTGTCAGCAACGGTATCCCTGTGACTATTGTTTGACGTGGGTTTTGTTCGTCAAACAAGAGGTCATAAACCAGAGATACGAATTTTCGGACTAGATTTCACCGCAAGAACACTGCATGGCCAGGGGCCAAGACGGCACTCAGTTACAGCGAGCAAGGTCATCAACAACGGTCACGTACAACACAGTAGCAGATAAAACGTCATCAGCGACAGCTAACTCGAGGCAACCGTACAGCACACCAGCCACAAGTGAATGCCTCAGGTTAAGAATACTTGTCAATAAAAAAGAACGGGGTCCAGTCAGTACCAGCAGTAGTACTTTTACTACTAAATGTTTGTAATACGTCCGTATAGGTGAGTTCGTGTATATTGTGTAGACAAGGAAGAAGTAGTGTTTATCAACATTAATTACGTCACGAAATGTTTACAATTTATAATGGATAGACAGGAAAAACAGTGATTAATGTGATAGACTATGACTATTCAGATTGTAGAGTAGAACTACATACATTCTTTGTAAGAAAAGTAATTTAGTAAGAATCTAACATTTATCAACAGTTTGTGGTGACAATTAGTGAAATTAATATGCGCTAACTGTGAACATTTAGTGATCTGTGCCAACTGATCAACTTCAGGGTATAAAGACTTTTTGGACATATTTGAATTATTGAATGAGCATAAACTAATGATAGTCTTTTAAGATCATCTGCAGACTTAGACCACGACAGAAGACAAGAGCGGTGTCCTACAAAGATCAGAAGAGCGTGTCCAGAGACGGTAAAGACGTGCAGTGGAGCATCAAGGGCCACAAACCTAATCCAGTCCATTCCAACAGCAGAAGAGCAAGGGAGCCATCACCAGGACCAAGGAAAAATAATCAACTCATTACATTGTTACATGATTTTTTTTTTTTTTTTTGATTTTCAGGTTCTTTGATTGTGATATTCTATTATTCTATTTAAGTAAAATAGATAATATTTTTGTTTATTTATTAATTGAGTATAAAAATTTGTCAGGGGATATAATTAAATTTAAAATCTCAATTATTTAGTTAAAGAAGGGTTTAAATTAAACAACACCTATCAAGCGTCACGAAACAGGACAGTGTAAGATATCAAATGCATAAGGCAGCTGTCAGATGTACCAAAACAAACAGTCCAGAACTAGAAGCCAGTTTTCATCATCAATGAAGCAGCAGTTACAATAGATCAGTAGTTGCACATGCAACTAATCGCATTAGGCACCGTCAGTTCTCTGGCTACAGGCCATTGATTATTTATGAATCTGCAGTTCGCCAACACAAACCACATTAGGCAGTCAAAAAGCATTCCAAATTAAATTCACAGCTCACAGTGCCGCACCATGCACTCAACTTAGTAGCTGGGCAATTTAAAAAAAAAATTGGAGAAGAAGAAGAAAAAAATATATATGTTAAACTAACCTTGATTTCTTGGCTTATAGCTTCAATAGTGGACTCCAAAGCCTGAGTTCCTCGGACAGCTTCGTCTTCCACTGTCTTGACTGTCTTCAGCAGTGAGGTCACATTCGTCACCATCACCTGTTAAAGGTAACAAACCTTTATGAGTTGAGATCCATGTTTTACGGTCTTTCCTCTTCTGTGCTAGGTTGTAGAAGCACACATACCATCTTGATGTATTGATGCAAGGTCAGTGAGAGCTCTCACATGGATTCAAACTAGAGACCTCATGACAGCAAGCAAATCTGCTACAATGCTACCATGAAAACATCTAAATAACAATCATTCGCAGTCCTTCCTCTTCTACCCTTGAATACACAGGTACTTCGTTGTCATTTCTTGTCACAATATTGACACATACTGTCTTAGTTTGGCGTATTAGGATCAGTAAATGCCTCAAAGGAAGTGAAATTGCAGAGGTCACTGTCATGACCCTTCTTTGCATTTACCAGCTCTAAACTCCGGCAGAAAGTTATGGTTGTTTGTCCACTTCTGCACATCTGCTTCACAGGTCTGACTCATTTGCATGCAGACTGTTGGTTTCTTGCCTCTCAGGCAGATGTACACCGACTTCGAAGGAAGCTCCCATTCAGTCGACACTTAGGACATGCTTTTAGGCAGACAGTGGGTCTATTCTTGTCTTCCCCACAATGGGGCCCCGGAACCCACACAGGAAGCTAGTGGTAGTAATAGCAGCAGCCCCACCAACAAAAGTACTAGCAGCAGCAGACAGATCTGACAGCAAGTGTTACTGTCCAAAAACAACATATTTTCCTGCAGACATTACAGTAATCAAGTAGTATCTGTTGAAGCACAAGCACATAAAAAAGTGGGATGGGATAAACTCTCTAAAAATAGTCCACACTCAATAATAATAACAAAAACACAATTCTATAAAAATAAATTCTAAACAAATAAATTCTATACAAATAAATAGGGCATATTTTCACAAACTGTAGAGTTTTATTGAATGTAAGATTCTAAATTATAAAGACATGTTTTAAAGATATCTTAAGAGATAAGAATTGAAATATGAAAAGCAACATATTGCTAATATTTGTTCTTTTTTTATCTATATCTTACTACTGGCACCTAATAGAAAACTAAAAAAAAGTTTTTAAAAACTAGAAGAAAAATAAAGTCCAACTGTGTTGGATTTAAACCCATGACCTTCAGAGCGAGCATCTAGTTGCTATATCATGCCCCCCCCCCCAACAACCTTCAGTACCACACAAAAAGTTCTAAAGAATTTTCTTTAAGTAAAGTAATCTTCTGGTTAATTACTGATCTGAAAACTGATTTACATTTTAGGCAATGGCCGATGATTTCATTCTTACGCAATTTTTGAACTGTCTTCCTGACGCCCCATCCACCCCGCCCTCTTTTCTCAGTTTCTCTTACACAACTTTTATAAGAACCAAGAACTATATTCGAGCAACTTTTGAACTTACCTTCACTTTCACTTGAATTTTCTAGTCACACACACACAAAAAACTAGGACAAAACACTATGTATGACCAACCTTGAGGCAATATGGACTACTTTTTTTCCCCCCAAAAGTTCAAGCAAAATGAACTTTTCAAACATCAAACTGAAAAAATTTAGATCTTAGAGAGAAAAGCAGGTTGAATAAATCTTCTTCCTTTTCCTCTGCATCCACCTTTAAATTCCAATTTCCAATTACTTTTGAGAAAAAATCAAAAACGCAACCACGTTCAACCTGCTGCTAGCTAGCCGAAGCTGCCAAAAGTCTGCGGCTATATTTGTGGTCTTTGTTTATTTGTGCCACTTTTGTGGTTAAAGTTCTGGTATTTGTGCCATCTCTGTTCTTAATGCTTCTTTCTTCCAAGTCAGACTGCTCATTCCCTATCCTGTTGTCAACTGTGTTCTTCTTGCTCTCTCATTTCTGACATTTCCTCGTTTGTTCCTTGGTTTCAGCTCCTTCTGATTTGGCCAGGCATATATCCTAGGAGAGCGAGCTTCTCAACATAACGTCCTTTGGACCAGCATTTAGAGTTTTAAAATTCTGAGTATTTTACTTTGCCAAAAAAGTACTGAAAGGTTTTTGGTTTGGATAGATCAGAAATGTGAAAATACCACCTTTAAAAGGGCAGTGGACACATGTGTTGTGGTTTATAGCTGAGTGCCTTTCAGCTCAACATTTCAGCAAACCTTAATTAGTCACATTTTATGACCTGCTGTTGATGAGCAGTGGGGTCTATTCTACACCGCCCCCCCCTCTCCAAGCCCATCCCCACAGCGAAGACAGCGGTGCTTTTTCCTCAGCTACAAGAAGTCTGACTGGGGGCTCATGGCAGAAACAAAAGCAATAATGTGGCTAGGGACAGAGCATTTTTCCCATGGGTGTTTACTAAGAGATTCCATGAGCATGCTAGGATGCGTGTGAAGATAACAGCTGAGTCTTGAGGAACTCTCAGCTGATAGTGTTCAAGTTTCATTTTTGTGCCAGGGCACTCTGTAGTAAACGGGAATGAACAAGCAGATGAGCTTGCTGGTAGGGCCATAGTATGTACAGGACAAGCAATAGACCGGGCCCATGTTCTCAATTCTCTCAAGAAGGCAGGACAAGTAGATGACTGAGGAGATAGCAGTGAATCAGCAACATTAAAGACATCAAGAACTTCAGGTCAAAGGAGGATCTGCTAGACATGAACACTGTACAAGTAGCAAATAAATAAAGGAAGAAGGTTACTGTCAGTTGCCACACGACGAAGGATTTAATGAAGATGGAATCCGAGCACCACTGGACTTGTTTAATAAGCAATGAGGTTAATCGCTGGACCAACAGTAGAAGTAGATACCTACCACTGATATGTACTTCTAACAGCGGGCGGCAGTACTTTCCTCAACCAAGTACACATAAATCCTTAAACAAACCTGCTATTTACAATAAACAAGCATATTAACAAAACGTAATCAAGTTACCAACAAATTAACATCAAACAAACCAAGTTAAATCAAAAATACTAAACTACCAAATCAGGTAAAATGTTATTCTCTATAAATGCTGTTAACCTAAGAATAAAAAAATTTAAAAAAAACGTCAACATAACTGACTTAAAAAAAAAAATTTAACAATTCCAACACACACAAAAAAAACAATATTTCTGTAAATGTTCAGTTAACACAATTTTATTATAAACTTATGCATAAAATGACTATCACAATTTAAACAAAATATAACAATACAGGCTAAGTTTATTTTTCTATCTACTCCGAGAAACCCAACACGATAATGAAATTATTTTTGTTTAATGTACAAACTTAATACTACAACAACATAAACAAGAGTAGTTATACAAATAACACAGATTTGAGAAAACACATTTACTTTCTTTTATGCCAATCTTTAAAACTGACCTTGAGCTAGCAGGTTGACCCAGCCTAAAATCTATGCCAGGACATTCGAATACAGATTACTCTGTAGGTATCTCCAAGAAGCCTGGGCTTACCCGAGGTACTTGCTGAATTTCTAATGCAATAGATATTCTTTACTTATGTGGGGAATGTTTGGTTTAATTAAGCCAGCTCATTATACTCAGAGAAAAGGCAAGACAGACCTATAACCAGATTGTGACCGGTCGCATCAGTATTGAAACTCTGCGCTGGCTGCTGAAGACGAGGAAGGAGCAAGCATGGAAATGCCCCGAGTGCTGTAATGCCAATTCCAGAATCAACTCAACTCAACTGTTTAGTTTAATCTCTACTTCTCTGTCCAGGAGTTCACTTTCTCAAATTGTTTTTATTTAAAGAAACTGCTACCAACCCACTTTGGATGAGAAATTACTTTGTGTCCGTCTGGTACACCAAAATAATTGTACCATATGGCTGAACGGGGATTCTGGAATTCTATTTTTTCTTCTTCGCGTTCACCAGCTGTACACTCTGGCGGAAAGTTCTGGTTGTTCGTCCCCTCCTGGACTGCAGTCCTGCTTAAGAACCTGAGTGTTGCGTGTGCATCAGTTTTACAGATCTGATTTACTTGAATGCAGACTGGTGGTTGCTTGCCTCTCAGGCAGATGCACTCCGACTTCAAAAGAAGCTCCCAATTAGTCGACTCTTACGACATGCTTTTGGGTAGGCAGTGGGTCTATTCTTGTTTTTCCCACAATGGGGCCCTGGAACCCACACTGTCTCATCAATGAGATGTTAACTACATAAAATAAATTAGCCCTTGACCCATTAGAGTCATGAAGGCGTATCCATAGAAGCCCTCACAACAAAACCGACCATTTTTCTCTGTCCTCCACTTGATGAATAAGTGTATAATAACTCATTCCTGTCCATTCCTAGGTGTTGTCATTTCAGTTTCTTCTTTGCCCTCCTCTTCTTTGACTACCCTCCAATTTTCTTTGAAGTGCAGTCTTTGCAATGGAGTCAAGTCTCACCATGTACCCAAACCAAGCTAGCTTGCGACGTTTTACCACTTTCACATGGAATATGGCCGATGCTCAACACTCAATGGAAGAGCAAGGCGGTTATATAATCAGACAGTTACTGGTGCCAACGGGATTGGAACTCTTCGTTTGCTGCTGAAGATGTGAACGGAGTGCTTATGGAGGTGCCCTGAGTGCTATGTTGTCAATTTTTTATTCAACATTCAACATTTCGCCACTGCCAAGACAGGCTCCTCATATCCTGCAAATTTGTATATTTTGTATTTGACATTTATTAATTTTGTGTTATAAAGAACTAATTCCTAAAATGAGTCTGTAACATTTACAATCGAAAGCCTTAATCCTTCTTTCCAGTTCCACAGTGAGAGTCCAACTATTACATCAGTAAAAGAAAAATGACAATACTAGTGACTTGTATTGTATATATTGACCTTAACTGTGATGGTGATTCTGCTCTTCTAAGATTTGAACTACACAGAATGCAATCCTGAAGGGAGTATGTTTTTTGTTTTAATTGCTGCTGTTAAAAGGCTATGTCCTGGGAAGTAAAGGTGGCAGCATGATTTTGAACATATTGCCCATTTAATGATGATTGGTTTATAGAAAACCTGTGTTTAGCACCATATACCCAATTTGCTAATGGTGTGAACAGGGCCCTTTATT